CACAACACAATCAATCAACATAAATCATTCAAGCAATCAAACGTTCCAATTTAATTCTTGAATTTAGTGATCCCATATATTTAAATTTTGAACCCTTTTTAACCTACCTCGGTGTTGAAACACCTTAAGTTCATGAAGCACCGCAATTTCTATCCCTCGGTGTTTAGAGAACCTTAAGTGCATTTAGGCACCATATTTCATTTTATTCATGTGTACTAAGACACTTATAGCTTAATTTCCATGCTTATAGTGAAAGGAATGATGTCCTTCGAACAAGTGTATTATTCCGATAGAGGGTTCGGAATTATTAGAAAGCTAATTATTCAGTGAGGTTAAGTGATTGGAATGTCTGGGTGGAGGCCGCTTCCGATCAGTAATATAAATGAATAATTAATATTACAGCTTAATCTTTACTAAACCCTTCGGGTCACACCCAAGCAACTAGCGAAACGAAGCGACGAATTAATTCGGAGGAATTAATGAGTCACCCGAATAATAAATATTTAGACGTCGGAAAGTCGAGCTTGGAGCATCAAAACCGAGCGTCGGAAGTCGAGTAAAAAAAAATAAAAATACGAGATGAGAAAAATTAATAAATCAATAAATTCCTAAAATACACATAGCATCGAAATGCCCCGAGCAAATCGAGTGCTAGGGGCATGGTGGCTAGCATGCGCACCAAGCAGAGCCTATGGCTAGCTGGTGCGTGCTAGCGCACCTGTGCTAGCATGCCTGCCGCGACCATGTGTGCATAGGGCCGGCAGCAACCCTAGGCAGTAGCCCGCACAAATGGTACAAGGCATGTTAGCCGAGGGAGCTAGCAGCAGCCCGCATAAGCGTGCTGGTCTTGCTGGCCGTGGGTAGCCTCGAGCAAAGGGGAAGCATGGCAGCCCACTTGGGGTGCCTTGGTGCCCAAGTGGGGCTGCCATGTGGCGCATAGCAAGAGAGGGAGAGAGTGATGAGGTGGACGGTTTTTATAAGGAGAGTGGTGAGCAATTATGGTCCCCCCTCCTTCAAATGGTCCTCACCTAACCCCTCATGTGAGTTTGACAATTGTTGATTTATTAGTAGCTTGCTTATTTATTTTATTTTAGATTTAAAATAAAATGAATAAAATCAAAATCTCCCACATGGAAAGATGATGGGAGTTTTGAGAACCTTTGCATATAAATACCAACCTAGGTAGTTGGGAATTCTTTACTTAAGTGTTGAAAAAGGCATCACAGTGTGAAAACCTTTGAACACTAATTACTTGGGTTTTTAGGTCGGGCCTTGCTAACACCAAGGCATTAGACCGGTTCGGTGCTCACGTTGCGGGTGGAACTTGAAAGAGGTCGCCATGTGAGCGGGACTTGAAGGCTTTCAGTTAAGAGCTCGTTTTGGTGAACGAAGCACGCTACAAAGGTAATAATTACTTACTTAGTCTTGTGTTTATGTTAATTATGTTTATGGTTGTAATTATTGTGAGTTTGGTTTTGGGGTCGGGTTTCCTTCCGCGGTGGGTCAGACTCACCGAAACCCAACATATAGCATCAATAAAAATTATATGTATCATAATAAAACTCCCTTTTCATATTCCAAAGCAAATAAAATATTTAGTTTACTCGAATAAACCTTTAAACATGCCGATAATAAAAGTATGATTCAATAACAATATTTCAATTTTCCCAATTTCAATAAATAATTAATTTCAACCAATAATGCTTCACTAATATTTCACCAATACCATTTTAATGCAATCAGTCCAATTCAATCACTAATTTTATTTCAATTTACAAAATTCCAACCAATTTCTATAGCTAACATGATACTAACTTAAAATCTATTACATAATTCCTAGCATGTTTCTACATGCTTAATAAATTTCCAAGTACGTGTATGTACCTCGAATAAGCTTCTAAAGTAGCCATATACACTAGAACACTTTCCAAACCAAGTCACCTACATAGAGGGACAATAAATCTACGTCAATTAGCCTTCTATATACAATTTCCAGCAACTTAAACTCACTTTGAACAACTTATAATTATCTAAAAATTTCTTAAATAATATCCCTTTCAATGGGTAATTAAAAACCCTTTTTTAAAACTCAAGTAGTCTTAAACCCATGCGATGCACGATTGTTTATTGTATTGTAATTTTTTATTTTAAAATTATAAACATTAATAAAATAATATGGGATCTCAACATTATACATGCTGGGTTTATATATATATATATATATATATATATATATATATATATATATATATATATATATATATATATATATATATATATATATATATATATAAACACATTACAAAAATAGGCAATATTATCAAAGCCTATAGTAATATACAATATTATAACAATAATGTTACGTTGGAATTTTTAATATATATAAAACACTACTCCCTCCGTTTTTAAATATTTGCTCCATTACTCCATGTGCGGAGTTTTAGGATAAATTGGAGAAAGTAATAAAATATGGAGGTATCGGGATAGGTGGAAGAATAAAAAAAAATTGTAAAAAAAAATTGTTGTGGAGAGAATTAGAGGAGAGAGAATATGAATTTAATAAAATATGATTTAGGTTGGGTCCACTAGGCGAGAGAAGTGAAATAAATATTGTAAAAGCTTTCCAAATAAGGAAATGGAGCAACTATTTAAAAACGGCCAAAAAAAAGTGGAGCAAGTATTTAAAAACGGAGGGAGAAGTACTTTAAAAGTCTGTCAAATTACAATTTGTCATCTATAATAGTTACAATTTATGAATGTTGTTCAACATTTTATAAGGAAATCTTGTATTCCACAATACAATATATATACATGTAGGGGCTACAAATTTATTTTTCTAATTCATTGTTCTGCAATATACATAAAATAGAAGAAAATGCTTACCAAAAGAGAATTCGTAGCCCAATTTGAACTTCACTCACTATTAGGATTTGTTTGGTTCACCTTATTTTTGCTTATCTTATCTGGTCTGATCAGGTGTGGTCTGATATGATCTAAAAGTCAAATTTGAGCAAACTTGACCTTAAATATACGATAATCTATACGGAAAAAATATATCAAGTGTGGTCTTATTAGATTCATAATAATGTGTATTATATTAATATGTGATTTTCATAATCTTTTTCATCATGAAATTAAAGATATTTAACGATAAAAAACTACACATAAAACAATGATCTGATTTGAACTTATTTTTTCTGATCTGATCTGAACTGAATTTATTTTTTCTGAAATAAGTAAAAATAAGGTGAACTAAACATGGCCTTTAGTCATTTGGTCCACAATGACCTTTTTGCAAATCAAACATAGCAATTCTTTTAAATGTGGAAAACAAATTTTGATCATTCACAAGCGAAACTTTAAATATGAACAATTAACTTCCTTTGAGATAAAAGACTAAATTTGTTTTAATAACTTTTTTGATTAAAAAAATTACATTATGATTAGACATAATTAGAGGATTGGGATGGAAGAGATGTATATTAGGGGATTGGGATGGAGCGATGCATTAATTTTTGTAAAAAAATGATATTTTCTTGAGTAGGCATGATTACGGGGTTGGGATTGTTGGGTTTTGGAAAGTCCGACTTTCCGCGGAAACAAAACCCGACCCTAAGACCTGCACATAAATAAATGCAACTAAATATAAGCATACTAATTAACATAATTAATAACATATTTTACAAGGGCAAAGAAAGACGATCTTACCCTTGTAGCATGCTTCGCTCACTCGACCTCTTACTTGAACGAACAAGGACTCAAGAACGGAGAGAGCCCCAAATGTGGCCCCTCCTACGGAGTCCACCCTCAAGCACGACCTGTCTGGCCCCTACCCCGGAGTTTAGCCGGGGATAGACTAAGAAAAACTAGAGTATTACGAACTTAAAGGTTTTCTCACCTAATGGGAGATGCCTTATTGAGTTCAACTCAAGTGAGTAGTTCCCAAGGTATGCCTTGGTTATATAATTATAAGGAGTGCTTCCTTGTGAAATCCTCTCATCTTTCAATGTGAGACTTTTTCTCAAAAAGATCCCACATGGAAAGAATGTTAAATTTAATTCCTAGTTTAATTAACAAAGTAATCACTAAGTAACAAGTGTCACATGATTAGGTGAGGACCCCTTCCACACTTGCTCCCAAGGCAACTCGCATCCATTTTTAGCTAACCATGTGGCACCCAACCTTGAGCCCCAAGATGGGTTTGGTTGGGCATCCACCCATCGGCCGATGTCCATGACCCATCACCCGGGTTCACGGCCCGCTACCACATGGCGCTACCACGTGGCGCACAGCCACATGGAGCACATCCACACGGCGCGCTGCCACTTGGCGTGCTGCCAACGTGGCAAACTTCCTTATCCTTTCGCATGGCTAGGCCATTGCGACTTTGCGAGGCTAGGGTTTTTACTTGTTACTTGAAGCATTTTCCCGTCTCGCCAATTCCAAAATTTTGGCTTGCCTTTTGAGATTTAATTTCGACGCTCTAAGATCAGAATCCGATGTCTTTCTTTGTAATACTCTAATGACTCATGAATTCCTTTCGGATTAATTCCACTAGTAGAAAAAATGCTATTTGTAATAGGCGAAATTGACTTTTTGTAACTGGCATTGTTGGTTGCGAATGCCACCGTTACAACTAGTGAAAATGATTCGTAACTAGCTAATGTTAGTTACAAATAATGTACTATTCGTAACTGGCTTAACCTAACGCCAGTTACAAATAGACTATTTTCCAAGTTAGAAACCATATTATTTGTAACTGGCGTTAAGTTATGCCGGTTACAAATAGAGTATTATTTATAACTGGTATAACCTAACGCCAGTTACGAATAGTGTTTTTATTAAAAAAAATAAATAAATAAAATGGTAGCAATAGCAAATTCCTCTACTGCCACCACCTGCACACTGCATTTATATTTTTTTTAATCTAAAGACCAATTAATAGTTAATAAACTTTTATAAAATACAATAATTATCAATCTAACCAATATAAGACCAACTTTAAGCGACATCTTGTAAATAATATTGACTTGATGTACTTGTAAATTACAAATATTTCTCTCACAATTCACAATAAATAATACTTTATAATTAAAAAAGCTAGTTAGTTAATTGATACAATGGTCAACCTTCAAATTTTAACAATTTTGTCGATTTTGTCTTTGTCTGCTTCACAAATTTGATTGTTCTGTACGGGGTAGCAGCAGTTCACACTAAGCACTTGATATTGCAACAGAATTCTGCATGGGAAAGAAATATAAACATAAAAAAGCCAAAATTAAAAAAGTGTTGTTTCGGACAGTCATCTACTGAACTCTTCCAACATGGTCAATGCATCAAACTGAGGGGACGATATAAAAGAAAATAAGCATCAAAACTCACATGAAAAACTTTAGTCACTTATTAGACAAAACTAGTCACAAATAAATTCAACACAGAAATCCAAACCAGTAATTTCACTTATTAGACAAATCTTTCACAAATAAATTCAATACAGAAATCAAAACCCCCCATATAAAATACAACAAAAACATAGGGTAGCAGATGCTTGGTGCCTGAACTAGCTCAATTTTCAGTTTCTTAGGTGTCTGAACTAGCACAGTCTATTACATACACAAGCTGGGAGGTACCTGAAGTAGCTCAAATTTCAATTTCTTAGGTGCCTGGGTGCAGAAGTGCCTGCAGAGGTGCCTGAACTAGCAGGTAGTCAATGTTTCGCCCACTTATAGTTGTAGAAATATCCAAGATTAGCGAGCTTTATAAATTGCATACTTGATGAGCCTGCATCATTACAAGTAATATCTAAGCCCGAACCATCGCAAAAATCAAATGAGCCTACAATCATTGGAAGCAAAAAATGAGCCTGCACCAATAAATGTGTGACGACTTTGAGGGAGCTCTGCACCACGTGAGTTGCATTTTGCGTTGTCTATTCTGAATTGATTTTGCAGTCATCTAATAGTCTCATTTCTCATGCATACACCTATCGCATTAAGTCTGTTATAAGACTAAGCAAAGATGAACCAGCCTTACAGTCTATATTCCTAATTAATGAGCTAATCTCCAGATTGGATTTTACATGCTACATATGAAATTTTGTGACATAATGCAGTTTGTATAACTTCAGAATGCTATGTGTTAGCCTCAAGTCCAGGCCAGATAGATATAAAGCAGTGTCAACAAAATTAACTTAGAACAGTTATCGCACACCTTGTGTGGTGAATCTTAGTAGTCTTTAAAAAATCTGCAACAGGGCATTATCATAGCACATCTAATATTTCGAACAAATAAACAACAATTCCAATTGTGCTGATAAAAGATATAAATATTGAGTGTTGACTAAGCAACAGAGAAGAATTTCCAAACTTTCCTAGAGCTTCAGTTCTGAAATTCAGCTTTGATTTCAGTTCTGACTTTCAATTCTGCATTCAGTTATGAAATTGACTATTGGAAGCATGCTCTAGCAATACACCATCATCACATATAAAATGTTGCAGCCAATCTGTCTACAAATAACAAAAGAATGGATTCATGAATTCAGATTTGTTGACCCTCCTAAGACAACTCAACTGAGTTGTACGCTTATTAACTGAGTACATATTATTGCAGTTCAAGCTGGAGTTCTTAGTCAAAGATGTTGTGCCCTTGTCTTGGAAATAGGAGATATCTAGCTAATCATCCATTTACGCACACAGTCACACACACACGCACAGAATATGAGTATTTGATACAATTTTAATTTTATTCAACTCAACTAATTGTTTCTAGGCAGCAAGCTTTGAAAAAGGGTTCTGTTGGAAAGTTGGAAGAAATAACTTAAAAACAAATGAAAAGGAACAGTAAAACGCAGAAATAGATAGAAAGACAACAGTTATAACTTCAACTCAAAAGGATCAGGAAATGTGTAGATGACCAGTAGTTCACTAGTTCAACACAACCTATGAATCTATTATGTTTTATTTCATTATTGTATCAACTCTTTACTCTCTAGACCTTGAATGAAATTAGACATTTATTTATACTAACAATAAACTCATGGGCTTATTAAGTAGCAAAACAGTTAAACAAGTGATAAAAAAACAAGATCATAAACACAAGGTTACTCAATAAGCCAAGTAATTAAATCAGGGAGTCAATTTAGAATCAAGTGACTACTTATTCAATTCATGCCTTAAATTCTACTTCATATTATCAATTTATCACTACTACAAGAAAAAAATATAACTCCATATCACACAACAATAATGATGCCACTCGTGTAAAGTTTATGAGCAGCTCAATCAAGGGATCAATAAATCAATTAAGCCATGCAAGTTAAAAAAAAAAAAAAAAAAAAAAAAAAAAAAAAAAAAAAAAAAAAGAGCTAATGAAACATGATAAGCTAAAATCTTCAAACAAATTCAGTCCCAACAATAACCGAGGTTTAAAAAATAAGGCCCGAGTGGGCAATGATTTCACAACTGCTAATTGAAATCCTATATATATCTGGACAAAGATACTTAACTACCTGCTAATTTGCTCGAGGTTCCACTTTGAGAGATAGAGAGTAACCCCTGATGCAACTTCCATATATTTGTATATGTTTACCAGATTGTCTATGTGAGGAACAGGGAAAATTTCTGCAAAACGAGAAAGAAGTCATATAATTAAGATACAGTCATATTTCAATACTTAGAAACACCAAAAACAGAACGATACTGAATACATTAGCAGCCTCCAGGCTTATACCAAAACCATCCAATAACGATGACCACAAAGTGTAACAATTGGGTCCTGTGCTAATTCAATACAAATATTACACTCAAAATCACCAGCATCATTATCATTATTGTTATTATCTTTTGATTCTTCATTACTTAAGCTTGATTCAGTCTTCATTGATTCCTCAAACCCACTTTCCATTTTCTAAACCCTAATTCTTGTACAAATTATAAACAAAACCCAGAAATTATAATCGACCGGTAAATAATGGGATCGAAGATTTCAATGCAATCGAAATTAAAAATAAAACAAATCAATTAAGCAAAATCAAGAAGCAACAATAACAAATATAGAAATAATAAAACTTAGAATAAAGAAATTAAAGATGAGATTTAATCAAAGAAAGAGGATAAAACTTACCAGTGGAATTGGTTGAATAGTGAGAAGCACGAAAAAAAAAAGGGAATTATTCAATTAGGGGTGAATCGGTGATATACGACTGATAATAAATATAAGGAAAATTTGTAAATTACCACCCAAAATCACCCATTTAAAATTTTATTTTAAATTACCACCCACTAAAATGATTTTTTTATGCAGATTACCACCTTCTTTCAAAATTCGGTGGAATTCAGATGAGTGGGGCCCTCCTAACGGCTACTAACGGCTAGTTTCTCCTTCCCAAATGAATTTCCCCCCGATTTCCCATATATAACATTTTCCTACCCTAATTTGCGATTTGTACTTCAAAAATTCCCCAAATTCCTCAAATTTCACTCCCTTGTAATTGCTGTAGCATCTTGAAGAAACCTCAAAGGTGAATTCGCATCAGGTAACCTATGACATTCTTTAAATTTAGGGTTCTTATTGTGCTTAAATTGGGGAAAACTTGTTGATTAGTTGATTAGGGTTTACTTTCTTCGCAAATTAGGATTCTTTTCCTATTTAATTGGGGGAAACTGAGTGTTTAGTTATTTAGGGTTCATGTTCTTTGCCCAATTTAGGTTTTTTGTCATTGAATAGTTGTTTGTACTGGGTAAGTTGTGTTTGCAATTTGTGCACTTAATTAAGTACTGGTAGTATTGATTGAAGCATGTTTTAAGCTTTTATGTTTATTTGTTGTTGGAATTATTGTGGCAGAAATGGAAGAGAATAAGGTGATTCTCAGATTTAAGTATTTGAATAGCTTACAATAGTGAAATCGACAAAAAAAATAAAATAATTTAGGGGGGAAATAACGACTGTGGGCCCGACACGCCTGAAATCAACCAGAAATTTAAAAAAGGTGGTAATCTGCGTAATTAATTATTTTAGTGGGTGATAATTTAAAATAAAATTTTTAATGGGTGGTTATTTAGAAAATGGAACTATTTTTGGGTGGTAATTTGCAAATTTTCCTAAATATAATCACAGTTTTAGAATTATTCTTTTTCTTTTTCTTTTTTTTTTCAAGTGGGCTTTCTTTATAGGATGGAAAAGTCATTGGGTCAGGAGTCAAAACGAAGAAAATCAAGATTCTTTTAATTGGGTTTAATTTACAATTACTAGCTTATTAATTGCCTAATAATTAAGATTATTGGGTTAACGCATTAGTGTCAATACTAGTATAGTGTCCGTGCGATGCACGGTTTATAAATCATATTATCAATTCCACGGGAAAAAAACAAAAATGATTCAATTAGTAATAAAAGGTTCATTTTCATTAACAAATTAAATAAAATTAACAGGAAGTAGTAAATTAATATTTGTAACTGACGTTTATAAGATAGTTACAAACTTTTTGGTCAAAGTTTTTTGACTTAATATTTGTAACTGGCGTTTGTAAGCTAGTTACAAACGCTTTGGTCAAAGTTACTTTGACTTGATATTTGTAACTGACGTTTATAAGCTAGTTACAAACTTTTTAGTCAAAGTTTCTTTGACTTAATATTTGTAACTGACATTTATTTAGTTTGTTACTAATAAAACTTCAAACAATAACAAACCACATATTAGTAACTGACATTTAATACGCCGGTTACTAATGTCATGAAATTTGTAACTGCCATAACATACGTCAGTTACTATTGATGCTTTTGTAACAAGCATAACATATGCCAGTTACAAATAGGGCGTTACAAATAGCATTTTTTCTACTAGTGTTCGTTGACACGGATAGTTAACTTGATTGGGTGTGACTCGAAGGGTTCAGTCAAGATTAAGCTGTAATATTAATTATACATTAAAATTACTGATCGGAAGCAGCCTCCAACTAGGCATTCCGATCACTTGACCTTGCTAAATAATTAGCTCCGTAATTGATTTCGAACCCTTTATCAGAATAATACAATTGTTTGAAGGACACCATGCCTTTCAGGGATGAAGAGATGCATGATTATTTTATGGAAAAATTTCCAAAAATAATACAAACTTTAAGTGGTCCGCCAAAAACAAGTCAAACTTTTAATTATTTTTAAATAATACAAACTTTGAGGGGTTTCCGCTTTAAACAAGACATTTTACCTATAATCTAAATAACCGGTAAAATTTATTTTTTAATTTAACAATTTAATTAACACACAATTAACACCTAATACACTCATAACCATAATTAACAATTAATAAAATGTTTTTTTTTCTAAAAACAAAACCACTTCTCCCCTACGCCAGCCACCTTTTTCACCAGCAGTTCCCATCCCCCACTTCCACCACAGACGGCGCCTAGCCGCCCTACCCTAATGTCACTCTCCCCTTCCCCCTCTCCTAAACCACCATCACCGAATCCCTCTCCCACAAACCAGCAAAAACCCCATCCACCAAACCACCATTAATGAAATCCTACTCCCTCCCCAAGAAAACCCACAAAATTCTCCTCCCCACACCTAATTTCCCTTCCTCCCATGTTCAAATACCCTAGCCAGTAGGGTCTGGGGCTGGGAGAAGAGAAATTGGGGGTTGCGGGGTTGGGAGAAAGGATATTGGGGGTTGCACGGTTAGAAAGGAGGTTTGTGGTTTTTTGTGGTGGGTGGGAGTTGGGGAAGGGAGCGGGAAAGGTGAAGATGCAAGGAATAGGGTCGCTGGCGCAGGGGAAGAGGTTGGGGCGCCGACAAGGGTATCGACGGAAGGACAAGCGCTGGGAAAGTGGTGGCTGGTGGGGAGGGGGTTGTGGCTATTATTTTCTAAATAATAATAATAATAACGATAATAATTAAATTAAAACATTAAATAAATAAAAATTCAAAAAAAAATTATCTAACCAATAACACAATGACACGTGTCCTATATACCTATAAACAAGTCACTAACTGGTCACAACTTGTTTTAAGCGGATATCCCCCAAAGTTTGTATTATTTATAAATTAAATAATCAAAATTTTGACTTGTTTTTGGCGGACCGCTGAAAATTTATATTATTTATGACAATTTTTTCATATTTTTCTTAATTAAAAAAAAATTTTAAACAGGAAAAAATAGGAAGTGGACAAGTGTCCTTCCGACTTCGTATTTTAAAATAATAGTATTGATAAGTAGCACTTAGAACAAATTTCTAACAATTTAAACTAATCAAAACCTCTTAAAACTTCATCAAAACATACTTTTATACTCAATTATTAGATGTAATCAATTATTACAAAAAAAAACCCATATTAATTTTATAAAAGATCCCTAAAAATCATGTCTTGAATAAATTAAAACCCTAACTTTATGAAATTATGTTTTAAAATCAATTAAAAATCATTTTGATACTAATTAATCCTTTTAAAACCAAAATAAACAAATGTATATTTTCCATAACTAACAAAGAGAAGTATATGGGGAAGGAGGAAAGGACCCACCATGGTAGCTGGCGACAGCAACCGCTGTCACCGACGATGGGTGAGGGATGTGGCCGGACAACAATGGGGTCGGTGCAACAATGAAAGTAATGTGTGGGTTCTTGTTCCAACCAAGGCCGTAACAATGATTTTGGGGGCCCTGTTCTAAATCGAAAAAGGAGCCCTTAATAATGTGAAAATTGTACAATTTTTTCAATCTATAATTTAGGCAATGCACAAATCATACAATTTTTTTATCAATAAATAGTGTATACAATTCATCAATAATTATGTAATTAACTTCATAATAATATATCTAATACCTAGTAAAATTATATCTTTGATATTTAATCACATAAATCGAACCATATGCAAAAGATGAAAAGATTATATTTGTTAGTATTGCTACATAATAATAAAATAAATAATTATTAATTATAATAGTGTCAATTATACAAAGAGTCAATGATTACAATTATACTAGGTCCGTACAATTGGTACAAACAATCAAGATTTTCTCAAATAAACAATCTAAACCAAAGCCAATTAAAATTCTACAGTAAGTTGTAAAATTAATAAAAATTCACCCAGTTGTGAAATAATATAGAAATGATGAACATACTACATACAATATATATAGACCTGCAGAATTAAAAATTGCTTCAATTGATATTATCAAAACCAAAATAAATAAATAAAAAAAATCATAAGTTTACCTTGCCTTTAACCAATTCGATGGGCAAAGAATTGAAATTAATCGCTTCAATCCGTTCCCTAAAAAAAAAGAAAATTCTTCAATTCGGTTTTGTTTTTGTTTGATTTTGTATCAATTAAAAATTAGATGAAGATGATTGAAGAATGATGGAAGATAATCCGGATATATATACAGGAACATAATTAGTCGTTTGATCAATATATTATATTATATTATACTTTTCCGTTGAAAATATATTTTTCCATGGAATTGATTAATGTAATTATGGAGAAATTTAAAAAAATTTAGAAATTAATATGGAGGTTGAATAAAGAGAGAAAATACTGAGGAAATTAGCACGTAATCGCATTACTGACTTGCTCTTGCTTGGCATTATAAACAAGGAGACTTTACTTTAAAAAAAAAAGAAAATAGGGGGAAAAAGGCCTCTTTAAAATGGGGGGGGGGGGGCTATGCAAGAGGGCACCTTGAACTTGCTGTTTTATGGGTCTAGTTCCCGCCTTCACCCACGCACGAGGAAGAGGAGGAGAAATAGGGGAGAGCCACGGGAGGTGGCGAGGCGGTGTGGTCGAAGGCGGCAAATCGGAGGTCGATGACCGGCTGTAGGTGGGGTCAGGCAGCAAGAGTTTACGGAAAAAAGGAGCAGTAGCTCACGTAAGAAAACAAGGGAAAAGATAAGGAAAAAGGAGAAAAAAGAAAGAAAAATAAAAGGGAGAAGAAAAGGAAAAATTAGGAGGAGACTAAGGGCCTGTTCTCATACGTTGAAATTCAGTTCAGTTTAGTTCAGTTCAGTTCAACTCCTAATTTCCTTCTCTTATAAAATATTCATTTCAGTTCATTTCAGTTAAGTTCAGCTCAGTCCAATTCAGTTCAGCTGCGTTCAGTTAATGAGAACAGGCCCTAAAAGGAGTATTTATTGACTTTGTGTGGGAAACTAACCTTTTGGCTTATTAATTTTGTATAGGAAAATTTTAGGGATAAATGGAGTATTT